CCTCCCAAAGTGCTGGGATTACAGGCTTGAGCCACCGCGCCCGGCCTAGATAAATTTATGAATAGCAGTTACTCTTTCGTGGGACTTTCCATAAACATACAAATTGTATTTGAAAAAAATTATATGATAACGGGTCTATTCCTCACACTTTAAAAAGTTACCTTTCAACTATATCCTCTCCCTTACACTACTCTCCACGTATCAACGTTTGATTAGTCACTTCATTAACATAACTTTGGACTAGTTTAAAGTAGTGAGGGGTAACGTTTTCGAACACTGAAGGCTGCTAACTTTCCACTTTAGCAATTTAGGTTTTATCATCTGTTCTGGAACAACTGGATGCACTTACCTATTGTGAGGTCGTGAACAGGCTGGAACCGCTTATCTGTAAACTGCAGGAGGAGACATGACTTCCCCACACCTGAAAGTGAAAGAAGCACGCTCCGTGTGTCACGCAACCCTGCAACACCTTCCAGGATCTGGACTTCCCAGACCAGGGAAGGGGGCTCCCCGAGCCCCGCCCCTGGCCGTCCCGAATCGCCCGCCTGTCTCGAATTGCCCAGCCCACTAAGTGAGCCCCGCCCCCGCCACCCAATTAGAGAGCTTCAGATTCCCGCCCCAGCCTTGAAGGCGGACCACCTGCGGGTTACCTGTGTCTCCGATGATGATGTACTTGAAGAGATAAGCATAAGTCATGGTCTCGATTCCTCTGGGTTCCGGGTCCGCCCGAAATCTACAGCCACTTACCTCCGACCTCTCTAGCCACTCAATCTACCGATCTCCTTTTTTTTTCCCCCCTCCCCCACTCTCCGGCTCCTCTAGCCCAGATCACGTCTCTATTGCTCTCCCCAGAAATCCTCCTTAGGTCAGGAGTACCCAAAGCTACCTCCAGGGACGCCTCTAGCACTTCTACGTGCCATTATCCCACCAAGCTCCAGGGGGCGACAGCCCAGCGCCTGACTCGCTGCAGCCGCACTGTGCTCCTTCCAATCAGCAGAGAGTAACGCACGTACTTGCGGAAGTGACGGCAGTTCCGTGTCCAGTGGGGCGGTGGGAGCGATGAGGGTCTGAGTCGGTGGTAGCCGATGTGTGAAGATGGAGGTAGGAACCTGATCGCTTAGAAGCCTAGCGAGAGAACGCGGCCGACCGGGTTGAAGCAGAGACGGGAAGCCGGGCGGAGAGGCGACTGAAGGGAGAGGAGAGAGAGCGGGGTTTGGGGAGTGTTGTCAGAATGTCGGGGTCAGAAGCCGTCGCTCCCGGCTAACTCCCTGCTCCCTCTAACTTATCCCCGCGGCTTTCTTTTGGTTTCCAGTTTCCCGGAGGAAATGACAATTACCTGACGATCACAGGGCCTTCGCACCCCTTTCTGTCAGGGGCCGAGGTGAGCAAGAGCTGCCGACGCCGCGTGGGGAGAGGGCCTGAGGCGGCGGTGGGGTAGGGTGGTGGAGAGGAGAGCACGGACTCCAGAGACGTGGGCTGGGAACCAAGGGCCGCAATTGGTTTTTAGAGAAAAGTGGCAGCTGCTTCTAGAGCCTGTGGGGACTATCTGGGGAAGTTCTTGGAAGTTGCTGTCATCAGAAAAGCAGGATACTGGAAAGAAATAACTTGCTTAAAGAGGAAAGTTATTCTGGATTAGAAGACAGTGGAATTGTCTCCTTTCTTTGGGGAGGAAATAACTACAACAATCTTGAGTGGTCCCAGTAGGAAGAAAATTTTTCAGCTGAAGAAATTGGGGTAAGGGGAAGAGCTTACCTAGCAGAGGGTTAACCGTGGACAACATGTGTTCATTCTTGAAACGAAGTCTGTTAAAGGGGTCTTTTAAATTTTATTTTATTTAAATTTCCTACTTTTTTTTTTTGAGACGAGAGTCTCGCTCTGTTGCCAGGGTGGTGTGCAGTGGCGCGATCTCGGCTCACTGCAACTTCCGCCTCCCGGGTTCAAGTGATTCTCCTGCCTCAGCCTGCCTAGTAGCTGGGATTACAGGCATGCGTCACCACGCCGGCTAATTTTTGCATATTTAGTTTATTTAGTATATTTAGAGTTTATTTAGTATATTTTAGTATATTTAGAGATGTGGTTTCACCATATTTGCAGACTGGTCTTAAACTCCTGACCCCAGGTGATCCCACCCCCCTCGGCCTCCCAAAAGTGATGGGATTACAGGTCTGCGCCACCGCGCCCGCCTAAATTTCCACTTTGATGAAAATTTTGTGGTTACCTTTACGTACACAGGTCAGCTTGTTTTGCTAATACCAGGAGGAAGGGAAATAGCTGCTAGAGAACATAAAAAGAGTTGAGTACGACATGTGTTTCAGTTTGCCAGTGACTTAACTTTGGGCAGAATACTTCATCTTTGTATGTCACAGTTTCCCCAGCTGTCGAACAGCTGTAATAATAGTCTCTTATGATGTTTTAAAATAGAATTAAAGGTTATGATGAAGCTCTGAACTATTAGTGAAAAAATTTTGGTGAAATACTGTCATAGAGCCTGGCCCGGTGGCTCACGCCTTAATCCTAGCACTTTGGGAGGCCGAGGCAGGTGGGTCACATGAGGTCAGGAGTTCAAGACCAGCCTGGCCAACATGGTGAAACCCGTCTCTGCTAAAATACAAAAATTAGCTGGGTGTGATGGCGGGTGCCTATAATCCCAGCTACTTGGGAGGCTGAGACGGGAGAATTGTTTAAACCCAGGAGATGGTGGTTGCAGTGAGCCAAGATCGCGCCATTGTACTCCAGCCTGGGCAGCTGAGTGAGACTCGTCTCAAAAAAAAAAGGAAAGAAATATTGTCATAATATAGATATGTATCACTTGTTTAGGGGAGGCAAAAGAGAAAGGTGGAACAGACAAAAATTTCTGTCTTTGAGAAAATGAAGTTTTGAACCATCTGCTATTTTTTGAGGATTTTTATATTTATTTTCAAAACTGGTGTGGACCATTTGCATCAGTTTTTTTGTACCAAGAATTGTCATGGCTGTCTCATGGGCTTATCCTATAATCCTAATGTTTTCATGGATGAAAATTGGGTTGATAAGGAGCAGTTGCTAGTTTAAATTTTTTTTTTTTTTTTTTTTTTGAGACAGAGTCTCCCTGTAGCCCAGGCTGGAGTGCAGTGGCACAGTCTTGGTTTACTACAGCCTTTGCCTCCCAGGCTTAAGTGATTCTCCTGCCTCGACCTCCCAAAGTAGCTGGGACTACAGGCGTTTGAGAGCAGGCCCAGCTAATTATTATTATTATTATTGTATTTTAGTAGAGATAGGGGTTTCGCCATGTTGCCGAGGCTGGTCTTGAACCACTGGCCTCAAGTGATCCACCCACCTCAGCTTCCCAAAGTGCTGTTACAGGCGTGAGCCACTGTGCCTGGCGCTAATTTAACTTTTTTTGTTGGTATTATTATTCTCATAAGCAGGGTAAATGTAAATCTAGTATGCAGCAAACTTATAAGTGATATAAAACTAAAATCTGGGCCCACCACAGTGGCTCATGCCAGTAATCCCAACCCTATGGGAGGCTGACGCGGGAGAATTGTTTGAGCCCAGGAGTTCTAGACCAGGTTGGGCAACGTGATGAAACTCTGTCTCTATTTAAAAAATAGTAGTAATTAATTTATTAAAATTGCCGGGCGTGTGGTGGCTTACGCCTATAATCCAAGCACTTTGGAGGCCAAAGGTGGGCGGATCACCTGAGGTTGGGAGTTCAAGACCAGCCTGACCAACATGGTGAAACCCTGTCTTTATAAAAATAAATAAATAAATAAAATTATTAAAATAACAGCTAAAATCTGCTTGGTGCTTTGCACTCCCAGTTGCCAGTTTTTTGTGAGTGGGATCTCCATTTTTTTTTTTTTTTTTTTTTTTGAGACGGAGTTTCACTCATGTTACCCAGGCTGGAGTGCAATGGTGTGATCTTGGCTCACCGCAACCTCCGCCTCCTGGGTTCAGGCAATTGTCCTGCCTCAGCCTCCTGAGTAGCTGGGATTACAGGCACGCACCACCATGTCCAGTTAATTTTTTTGTATTTTTAGTAGAGACGGGGTTTCACCATGTTGACCAGGTTGGTCTCGATCTCTTGACCTCGTGATCCACCCGCCTCGGCCTCCCAAAGTGCTGGGATTACAAGATCTCCATTTTTAAATTTCATTATTTGAGTGTTGAAAATCTCACATTGGACTTAAACCTACATGAAAGTGCCAATTTCTCCTCAGTCAGGTCTCCACAGTTTAAATTTTGTTATTTAGAGTGGTATTATAAATTTTACATTGGCCTCATTCATGTGAAAGTCCATGTTAAAATTATACAAATAGCTTTCAAGTTTACCCACTGTTTTTAATTCTCTACCCCTTTTATGAAGAGGTAACCACATAAAAAGTGATTCCTTTCATCTTACCTCATGATCCACTTGGCTTGGCCTCCCAAAGTGCTGAGATTACTAGCCACTGTGCCCGGCATTAATTCATATTTTTAAATGAGGGTCAAGAATAGGCAAAACTGAACTGAACTGTCAAAATAGTGATACCTGTTGTGAAGGGATCAAAATAGTGATACCCGTTGTGAAGGGAAGGAAGTATTCACTGGAAAGGGGCACAAGGAAGTGTTCTGCATCTTTGATCTGGATAGTGATTACTGGATGTTTGCATATGTAAAAAATCCATTGACCTATATACTTAAAATTTATGTACCTTACATAAGCTATATATCAATGAGATAAGAAATAGTAATTTCAAAAGAGTAGCTGTCTAGAGATAATATTGCCTGAGATAGGAAAGTTCTTTATCATCTGAAGGCAATTTAATCTGTTTTACTTTTTCAGGCTGGCTCTTATATACTGGTGTTATGCTTAGAGCACACTGGGGAAATAATTAGGCATAAAGGTACCTATTCTTCATTAGGAAAAGTAGTACCTATAACATATAACTAGTTCATTATTTCATGGTAAATAGGTAAAATTTTCACTACATCAGTTTTTAGAATAGTTATTTCATTGACCCATAGTACCAGTGTGTTGTTGAATAAATAGGTGTTGGATTAAAATAAATTTATCTAAAATAAATTATACAATAAGCTAAAGAAATAATAGATTGTGTGTTTTGGTATCAGAGAATAAAAAAAGGGAGGGAAATGGTATTTTTGATTTTTTTTGGCTCTCTAGATATGTAAGCATCTTTGCTTATAAACTGTAATTCCCAAACCAGCCCCTCCCTCCAAATGGCCCAGGAATTGGACAGAGAAAGAAAGGAAAGCTAAGTTAGAAGGTAACTGCATATCATGTTCCTGTTTTCTCCTTCTGTGTCCAAACCACTTCTTTCTAATATTTGCTACCGTTTTAGCTTTGTTTTATATTTAACAGTCTAGAGTGTGAAGAGTGTGATCTGGTTATGTAATAGATTCAGTAAAATAAAATAACTTTAGATATTCATTATTGGATTTTACCCATAATTTTATAGATCATTTGTAGTGAAAGTTTTTAGTGAATCTCTGTTTTTATGATAGCATGTGGTTTACCCTTATTTTTTTTATCCTCTGTATTCTTGATAATTGCAGTTATCTAACTAGTCATTAAAGGAAGAAATAAAACAGAACCTAGAAAACCACCGTGAAAGCCATAGGTACTGAATAACAAAGCTTTTCCACATCCCAAGGGGTTGCGTATAGAAAGAATACCTTGTTGGCCGGGCGCGGTGGCTCACGCCTGTAATCCCAGCACTTTGGGAGGCCGAGGCGGGTGGATCACGAGGTCAAGAGATCGAGACCATCCTGGTCAACATGGTGAAACCCCGTCTCTACTAAAAATACAAAAAATCAGCTGGGCATGGTGGCACATGCCTGTAATCCCAGCTACTCAGGAGGCTGAGGCAGGAGAATTGCCTGAACCCAGGAGGCGGAGGTTGCGGTGAGCCGAGATTGCGCCATTGCACTCCAGCCTGGGTAACAAGAGTGAAACTCCGTCTCAAAAAAAAAAAAAAAAAAAAAGAATACCTTGTTGATCCTACATAATGGAATCTCTCCATGTCTAACTTTTTTTTATCATTGTTCAGTTCATTTTATGTAGCCATGTCTAATGTTTTAGTGTACAAGGAGAGTATTCAGATGGTTTATGAGGAGTAGTCACTTGTAGAACACTGGTCCCTTGTTTTGGATATGAATTTTTATCATTTTGGGGTCCTCATTAACAAGTACTATCATTTTTTAATATTCTGACAAAGTTGCTGTTTCGTAAGCAAAAAGGATAGGCATCTTGCTTTGCCAAAGCAATCTGTATCTTAAAAAACTTGGCCACTACTATTTTACTGTTAGTCTAGTATAGTAAATGTTTCCTTTGATCCTTCTTTTTGTTCCTATAACTTTTTTTCTTTGTACGAAAATTTGGTAAAAATCTTTGTACCCTCTACCTAAAAAAATGCTCATGTAAACCTAAACTGAAGTATCATGAAGAATCATGGACTGGAAGTTAAAATTTCCACACAATAACCAAAATTATGGTCCAGACACAATGGCTCACACCTGTAATCTAGATCTTTGGGAGGCCAAGGTGGTAAGATCAGTTGAGATCAAGAGCTCAAG